ACTTAGTATTAACAAGTTGAAATATATAAAGATGATAAGAAAAAAAATAGTATTTATCTCTCTCTATAAGACTTATAAGTTTTATATTATGCTTTTTGAATTAGTAAATACTTTAGTAATATTTCAAAAATTAATAGACCAAATTTTTAGAGACATTATTAGAAAATTTATAGCTATCTATTTTGATGATCTTAATATTTTCTCTAAGACTTTTAATAATAATTTAATACTTAGAGATAGTATTTAAAAGACTTCAGAAAGCTAAGTTAAAATTTAAACCCTAAAAGTGTTTCTTTGTAAAAAAAAAATTGAAGTTCTTGAGTTATATAGTTAGCAAAAATAGGATTTTTACTGACTTAGATAAAGTTAGAGCTATCTAAAAATTTTTTATCTCTAAAAATATAAAGTAACTATAAGGATTTCTAAGTTTAACTTTTTATTATAGATATTTTGTATCTAAATTTACTAATATTGCTATTTTACTCAATACTTTATTGAAGAAAAATGTTGAGTACTAATAGACTTCAGAATATCAAGAAGCTTTCAAATGTTTAAAGAGATAAACTTTTTTATTTAATTTTAAAATTTATTAAATTTATTTAAATTTATTATATTACTACAAAAATAATAACTAGAATCAATTCTGAATTAGATAAATCTATAAGCATAATAAATCAATTACAAAAAAGAAATTCTTACTAAAATTTTATTAAAAATCATTACTATATATAGTTGTTAGACAAAACTGTTTTGTGAAAATAATAAAAGATAAAACCTAAATTCAAAAAAGATGAAAGGTAACAAAGCTCTGATAAAAGATGAAATCTCTAACAAAAGTTGAAATCTCTAATAAAAGGCAAAACTAGCAAAAGTTAAAACCTCTAACAAAATATGAAATCTGTAAAATCTCTAAAAAAATAAAATGCCAAAACTTTATTAAAAAATAAAGTCCTAATAATAATAAAAAGCTAAGCTATAGTTAGTGAACAAAAACTTCTTTTTTTTTTTATATGATATGTATATTGTTATGTTCAAATTGTCATACAAATTTAATATTTATTTTATTTTTGAAGCCTTATTTAGTTACAAAATATTTAAGCTATTAAACTTCATATATAATGATAATAAGATAGCTTGTAATTGAATTTTTAGTTAACATTACTTTTAAACTCTTAAGAGAGAGAAGGGAATAAAATAAAACAAATATATAAAATAAACAAATATGAGACAATTTGATTAGTTAATGTAAATCAAGAGATTAGTGAGAGTTATCAAATATTTTAATTAGTTGTTCATTTCTTAGAAGTGATATTAACTAAAGAATTAACTTCAAATAGTCTAATTATTAGAATTTTTTAAATAAAGTTACAAATATTTAAATTGATACAAAGTAAAAAGTATACAAAAACTTAAAAATTATTTATTTTAGGTTTTTATATCTCATTACTTATATATCTATAACTCTATAATTAAGACTATATATTTAATATTTGAGCTAAAATAGTAGTAACATATAAAAAGAAAAAAGAATAGGCTTAGCTTTAAGTTTTAGTATAATATTTGTTTTTTTGTATATAAAAACTTTTTTCTTTAAAAACAATAAATTTGTTTAACTTTTTTAATTGCATGAAAAAGCTAATTTTACTTTTGTAAAAATTAAATTCGTTATCTTTTATTAAATAAATAAAAATAATAATATTAAAATATTTATAAAAAAATTTATTTAAAAATTACAATTTTTTTACTAAATATATATTTTGTAAAAAGGGTTTAGTTTTTTTATACACCTGCACAGTAGTGTATCCCTCCTAATTAGCCAATTAAAATGCAAAATTACTATATTATATTATACAAAATTAAACAAAAAACAACAAACTTTAAAATCTAATTGGCTAATTAGAGGGATGCATTGCAATACAGAATATGCAAAAAATATTTTTCTTTATAAAAAATAATATTTTATATAAATTTTGTAACTTATATTAGTTGATTACTTTTAGTAGTTTTATTATCTTTTTTTTAGTTTTGTCAACTTTACTAGTTTCATTACCTTTTACTAATTTTGTTACCTTCTGTTAGTTTTGTCAGTTTTGTCAGTTTCACTATTTTACTATTTCAAAATTTTTTTGATGAAAGGTGAAACTAGATTTCACCTTTCATCATAATGAAACCTTCTAGGATTCATCTAACATCTATATTGCCATATTAGAAATTATATGTTTCAGGTATATTTAGTTATAATAAATTAGTATATTTTTATTAATTAAATTGTAATTTATTAATTTTTGTATATAAGATAATAAAATATAATAGATGTGAATGTTAAGTATGTAAAAAAATTCAAATACTATAAGAGGATTTTCAAGCTCTATCTTTTATTTCAGATTCTGAACTATTAAAAAATGGCAAATATTAATCTTTATTTTCTATTTTATTAAATTTATTAACTAATTATTAATTTTTAATAGACAAAGACTATTATAAAGATTTTGATAATATTAATAGCCAATTAACATTAGAAAAATTTCACCTATTAGCAATGAATCTAACTATACATAAAGAGATTGTTGAAAAAAACAAAAACTCAGATCAATTTATTAATCAAAAAATTTAATATACAATTTTATGTGAACATTGTGATAAAATGCAATGTATTTATAGTAATGCTAGTTTAACAAATGATAAGGAAATTAATTTGCAATCTACTCTTGATGGTTTATGCTATTCATGCAGATTACAATTACTATCAGAAGATCATGAACTTTCAGATCAAGTAAGTGTTAGATTAAATCTTAAATGTGATTCTCCAATTGAGTCAACATACTTTTCATGGCAGCTTAAAAAGTTTGATATTTGCTATTGGTGTAGAGAATCCAAAAATCCAGTAGAACCTTCAAATTTATTAAAAAAATGAATGGAAAACTATATATCCATTATGTGAATTTTGTAAAAATAATGGAAAATCATGGCATAAAAGAGCACAAAAAAAGTTTATTTCATTAAATGATAATGAATTTAATAATAGTGAATTAATTAGTAGTAGTAGCGAAGAAGACAATGAAGTTAGTAAAATTAATATATGTAAATAACGGAAGTCTCAATTATAATTCTTTTAGTACGTAGAATACAATTACATTACTGTATATAGGTAACAAAATATATTAAGAATATCATTAGTATATCTATATTAAATCTAATAACTATATTTGAACACTATTTTTTTATCTATTTGAGCCTACTTTAGGTTCAATTTAACCTAATTTAGGTTCATCTGAACCTCGTTTAATTTTAGTGTTTAATTTTTTCCCTCCCCCCCCTCCTGTATAAATATAAAAAAAATAACATTAAACGAAGTTTTAACTTCAAATGGCCTTAGTCTGTATAAAGCGTCAAAGGCATGTATATGTTGTGATTCAGATGTATTCTTGTGTCAGATTACAGCTGATGCACCTCAGATGCTGATTTTCATGTTATAGTCGCAAGCTACACAATACAAGAACCTAAAAATTTAATCTAATTTATATTACAATAGTTGTATAATGTGACAAATAGCATTGCATAGTTGAAGAAGTGAATAATTGGTCAACTGAGGTGCGTAAGCTATGATCTGACACATTGACACAAGATCATATTATAATCAATAAAAAGCTTCAAAGTTTCAACAAATGCAAGAGAGTTAGATTGGAGCACAACAAGGATATAAAAAAGTTTTTTGGCTCTAACCTTTGATGTGCCTTTCTTTAAGTCAGCTTTTCTTTATTTTCGACATTTGCTTTATCTCCGTCTGTCTTTAGTGTTGGCCTTGATCTCTGATTATCTCTGATTATCTCCGATTATCTACGACGTTGTCTTTCTCTTTTAAGCTTGTCTTTGTTTTTAAAAAAAGAACTGTATAATCTTATGGCGCCATTTTGTTTATTTTATCTCGTTTACTTTATATCTCTTTTAAGTTTGCATTCAACTTGGCCTTTTTTTTTTTTTTTTTTTTAATAAAAAAAAAGTATATTATCACGATTGTTTAATAATAAATTTTGTAGTTTGATTTTTTCCAACTATAATTCGATGCAAAAATGCTTATAAGGCACAATATACACATTAAAAATAATGCAAACAAAGAATCTTTGAAAAAATTTTAAATAATATTTTCAAACCTTATTGTTATTTTATTCTGAATGATCAACCGAACACATTTTCAAAAAAGATAACGATATACCAAAGGTAGAGTTAGCCCGCATAAACTTGTTTTAGGTGGTGATTTGGTAGGTAAAAATCACAAGGTCATTCATTCGAATATACACCTATAGAGTGTCCATGCTCATTGGGATCAGAGTGCCGTGACGATTTTTCAGTACCCACCGGACCATTGCATATAAATAATTATACAGTATACAAAGATTCGTACTGTTAAGTACCAAAGCTATTTAAAATTGGACGAGTAAAAATTTATTATGACAGATCCTATAACTAATGCGTCATTTTGCAATTACATTGACCAGTTGTCTTGCCATGTTAAGACAAGCCAAACTCGTTTTGCGTTAGATAGAACTCTTGTTACCTGACCCAACATATTGTAAACATTTAAACTAGTAAAGTAAATAATTTATTGGTCTTAATATACAAAAGACTAGAGATACAGTCATAATGCCGCAACTTGTCGTAACTATGATGAGTTGTGACATTTTTTTGATATAGTTACGACAAGTTGCGACATTATGACTGCATCTCTACCAAAGACGAAACTGAATCACTCAAGCCGCTCACCAAATCTAACACAAATATTGAAACGACTTAATAAGTTATAGTAACACAGTACCTATTTTAAATTACTTTAAAGTAGCATAATGCACTTGACGCATCTTAATTGACTTGTTAAATAATTAAAGGTTGGAAATTCGATGAGTTGGTTGCTCTGTCGTTTCACTATTCGTGTAACGTCTTGGTGTGTTTTAATGATGCTTGACGAATGGCCCTTTGCCATTGACGAATGAAGAAACATTTCGTCAGGTAACTTCTGATTGAATTGACGATTGACGGAACCTATGACGTTGACGAAATCTATGGCGAAATTTCATTAAAACAGATTTAATTTGGGTCAAACTTGCAGATAATTTGGCCCAAGAGATGAGAGTTTTAAGACTCATCTTCCTGGACCACAGTATAGTTATTTATATGCAATGGTCTAAAGTACTAAAAAAATCGCACGGCACTCTGATCTCAATAGTACGGATACTCTGTAAGTGTATATTCAAGAAAATCAGGAAAAAAACCTGCCATGACAATACTCAGAACAATAATCATTGGGCATTTTCATAGAAAATGTTACAATAGATGAGAGACAAAAAAAATAGACAATAAAAAAATAATAAATCCAAATTAATAGGTAAAATGACTATTTAAAGTTTAATTAAAAATGACGTGTCGTTCAACGACAAGACAAGTCTAACATATTAGTTTGCTAAAAATGAAAGAGTACCTTGCTTACAAAGTTGAAGGACGTAATGCTAATACCAATACCTTGAAACTATATATAATGAACATTAAAGCTCATAATCAAGCTCTTGGTCATAATTGGGATCATCGTGGTTTTCGTGTTATTATAGACGAGGCTTTGAATAAATGCAATAAGGATGCTTCACTTCAGGATTCGAATTCTCCTATATCTATGACGACTGCCGAAATTTGCTCAAATGGTTTAGGTTCTCTTGATCCACTCTCTTTCCCTTCCTCTAGCATTAACACTCCAAAGGCCGACTCTTTTGTCGATAAGACGCATTCCCGATTTACTGAGATTCCTAA